CACAGCGCGGGAGGGGCGCGAGCGGGCGGCCTTGGCCCATTCTGTGCGGGAAAACGCGCAGTGCGCGAGGACAAGGCCGCCGCGCGCGCGGCGGCCTTGGTCCATTCTGTGCGGGACAACACACCGTGCGCGAAGGGCGAGGGCCGCCGCGCGCGGCGGCCCTGGCACACTGCGCGGGAAACGTCACACTGCGCGAGGGGCAAGGCAGCCGAGCACGCGGCCGCCATGGCCCATGCTGTGTGGGAAGCGTACGGACGTACACTGTTCCAGTAGGACGAGAACTACTTATTCGGCGACCGGAGCAGCTTATACTTTGCGCCAAGAAGTTCGAATGCCTTATTCAATGCATGCGCGTGCGTGTATATGTTTACACTACACACGTATGTTCGCTCTCCGTCGAATATCTTTCCAGGGGGACATTTAAGGCAATACTTATCCGGCGGCGTAGTAATGACACTCGGGATCGGGGGGGGGGGAAGGGGCGGCCATCATTTTAAAACAGGTTCTGGACATTAAGTATACCCTCGTTCCTACTGTATCTCGTGGGTTCCTTGCCCTCGGCCCCGCCGCCTGGCAAGCTCTTGCACCCGCCGGCCTCGAGGCTGCCCGCGCGTGGCCAGAACTTTCCAGTGGAGCCGTGCCCTGGCCGCCGAGCGCGCTCCACTAGTTACTCGCAAAGTGCCGGCTCGCAAATGACGGGAAAAACACATGTCTGCTTCGATGTAATTTGTCGTAGACCCCCCGCGGGGGATCCACGCCATTGGCGAGTGGTTACTTCGCGAGTAGTGGAGCGCGCTCGTCGACCTGGGGCGGCCTCGGGTCTCGAGGAGTTCCCAGCGTGGGCATGCCCAGCGCCGAAGCAGTCTGCGATGATGGATCTCCTTGGGCCAAGCGGGGGGGTCGCGGAGTCGTCTCGGGAGCCAAGGGCCAGAGCCGAAGCCATCTACGATGACCCCTCGAATAGAAAAGCCCAGCTGCGACCAGAAGGAACGCTCGATAAGAGATGAGCCCTCGTCTTGGCCCTCCAGTTGTTCCCGGGTGTGCGAGGAACGCTGTAGGAACGACCTTGGGAGGACCTAGCGAGCAGCGATCTCGCTCCAGACCAGAATTGTTTGTAGTTCCAGCGTCTCGGTTGTGGAAGAGAGGCTCCAGCGGGGTCCCAAGTCTGCCTTGTTTCCTCGACGCTGGCCACCTTTGTCCAATTTGTGCGAGCGGAGGGGGCCCCCGCCACCAGCAGGCAATCCTCATTATCCTCCCCCTCCTCCTCCTCCATTCCGACGCTGTGCCTCCTCCTCCTCCTCCTCCTCCTCCTTGTCCTCTGCTCGTTGCTTCCCTCCCTTTCCTTTCCTCCTGCTCCCTGCTTGCTGTCTCCGCCTGGCCCGTCTTCTGCCTGCCCGCCCGCCCCGCCGGCCCTGGCCTCCCGCCTGGGCGTTCGTCGTCGACTGCCTGCTTCTCCCCTCCTCGTCCCCTTCCGCCGGACAGCGCAGCCTGCCCGGAACCAGCGTGGCGGCATGCAGGGTTTCGGCATGTGGAGCGGCGGCGGGTCCGCCTCCGCCGACCCGGCCCCGGGAGCCGTGCAGTGCTGCTCGGGGACAGCGCCGCCGGCAGGAGAAGCGAAGGCCGCGCTGCTGGCGCTGGAGCGAGACCTGCCTGCTGCGCTTTTTCACGTGTGCGCTTGACATGTCTTACCTCTTCTCGTTCTCTTCATATTCCCCTTGCTCTTCCTCCTCATCATCGAAGATGTTCAGGACATTGTGCCTGCTGCCCCATCTTTTGTGGGTCAGTGGCCACTCGCCTCTATCCTGAGCCGCACTCTGAAGTGTAATGAACGGTTGCCGATGCCAGCGCCTGCATGCAGTGCCTGGAACCACGCCCTGGCGAGCGGGCACTGGGCTATCTCCTCTGCGAGCTGGCTCGTTGGACTCGTGCCCCCCCCCCCTCAGTGACGGAGGTCCTGCTGGAAGCACGTGCATGGCTGGCAGGAGGGCTCTGCCTCGCGCGCGGGGTCGTTGCCGTGATCTGCGTCCACTTCAGACACGTGGCAGGCCGCTGGCATGGCGCGGGGGCACCCACTAGCTGACCCAGTGAAACTGTGCCAAGCGGCCCGTCACAGGCCCGCAAATATGCCTCTAGGTCGCTCAAAACAGCGGTGAGCAGGACGTGAGCCGGCTTGTCCGACCCGGCCGTCCCCAGGCTGGCCACCCTCATCTCTATCGAGTTCCATGGCGGTGGTATGATTGTGAGGGAGCGGCGCAAGTTGAGCGATCATTGGACTCACTCGGGCGGCCGCTGTGGTGGCAGCTGTGCAGACGGGAGGAGCGAGGCAATGAAGGTGCAACCCAAGACCAGCGCCCAGGCGGGCGAGCCCAAGAGCTCCACGGGTCCCCGGCAAAAACGGAAACCCGCAAGTACTGTTAGCAGTAGCTACTTTCGTTTCGACATGGTGGCCCCGCTGGAGCCCTTGCCTCTTCCTGGCGAGTTTCTGCCGCCCTCGGTTGGCTGCGGGGCGTCATTCCGTCATTCACGGGCCGATGGCGCCGCGCCTGCGCCCACATCAGGTTGCCGTTCTCGTGTGCACGGCATAGCAGGCGCTGGCACGTCTATTCTCACTCAATCACTTGAGCTTCCCGCCGCCATCTACGCATCTGCGCCCGTAGCCCTTACTTGCAACCTCCTCTTGGCCTGCGATGAGCTGGTGTCTCATTTGTTCGTGGTGGACGAGGGCCGAACGCCAGTCCGTGTGCCCGTCGCACTCGTTGGGTATATCTTCCCGCCGCAGCTGCGCTCTGATTGACGCGCACCTTTTATAATATGTGTCGCCATGTCACGTCTGGTGTGCACCTTTGGCACAGCAGCGAGGTCGCCGACTCGTGCAGTGGTCCCGCCCACCAATGGCTCCGCTGCTGAAAAAGGGGACATTCCCGTTCGGACGCGGCACGGCGGCGCCGTCGCGTTCAGGCTCGGTTGCTGTGGCCTCTTCCTTTCGCACTTCCTGCGCATTAGCTGTCTTCGCTGAGTGACCGCTCTGAACCGCCACCGCTCAGTCTGGTCCAGCAGGTTCGTTGACCTGGGGGGTCTCTTTTGCACCAGTCGTTGCGCGTGAGGCCCAACTGCGAGGATTGCCGCGCTTCTCTGGTGGCTTGGCCGTGCGGCCAGAGGCGCTCACAGCAGACGATCTGGCGACTGCGGCAGGTATGAGGGAGGGCGGCGACATGCCTCTTCTTGTCCGCCCCGCGCGAAGCATGACGTGTTGGTTGGGACTTTCCCCCTTTCAGGCCACGGTTCACTGCGTGAGCTTACCTATCGTAGGTCGGCTCGCGTCGGGATCCCGATTTGTCTGGCCACATTTGATTCGCACAGCGGTTGAGGTCGAGCAGTGGGAAGCTGTGTGGTCGCGTTGCACCCTCCGCCCCCCTCGAAAAGTGTGGCTGGGACACGACCAGCACACGAGCTGGAGTCGGGAAGATAAGCTGGACCAGGGAGCCGGTTCCGAACAGTTGAACACGGTGTTGGTATCATACCTTTCTCTCCTGATTTTCTGGCGTCTGTCATTGCCGGGTTGTTGTGCCCACACCAGTGCAGCATCCCAGTGCAGCATCGCCGTAGCCGCACCCCAGTACAAACATCCTCGTCCGCTCACCTCTGAGCACCACGAGCGCACGTGCCGGTCGTTCACGGAACATTGTCGCCAACGTGGCGCCCCATCCAGGAAGCTTGCCACGCGGAGGCGAGCTTCCAGGGTTCGATGCCCCGCAGGGGAGAGGGCCGTCCCCCCCTTGGTCCCATCGGGCCCCCAGCCCAGTTCGGAGTGGGAGGCTGTTTACCCCCCCCCCGAGTTCGAACCGGGGGGAGGGGGCTTGCCAGTGACGGCAGAAGGCGCTCGTTTAATGATAACAAGGAGGATGAATCATCCAGGGGGGCCCGAAAGAAACCCAAGATGGGCCCCAAGAGGGCCATGGATGGGTTGGATGGGCCTTGCAGTGCATACCGTGCACCCCGCTTTCTCCTCTCACCAGAGCCTGCGATGCCAATGGGTAGTGGCATGGCGGCGGACGTTGGCCACCGCATTTTCGAGTGTGGCGCGTGGACGTGAGCTGGGGGCGGGATGCTCGCTGTGCAGACGCGCCTCCTCCCGCCAGTGGGGCTCACCTCGCTGCAAGGCTGCGCGGCCTCTCGCCTCTGCCGCTCACTGCGTGTGGCGTTCGCTCCACCGTGCCTCGTGCGCCGCCCCCTCCGCCCGCTCCCCTTCTGCGCCGCTCTGCCGCGCCCCAGCTGTTGCCATCCGACGCCTCGGGCCCCACGCCGCCGCCGATAAGCAGCTGGTCTTCCGCCGAACGTGGCAGGGCTGCCCGAGCGCCGCCTCTTCCACTGGGACCCTCCTTCGCGGCCGCTCGCAGCTCGCGTCCCCCCCCCCTCCCCCCGCGTGCGCGACAACGGAACGGACTGGTACGCGCCTGCTCGTCGGCGGTCATGCCTGGCCCGAGGCCTCTCCAGAGCTGCGGGCATCGCCGTCCACAGGCTGTGCGGGTGGATCTGGCCGCTGCCGCGGACCGTTTGGCCGCTCGGGTCCTCGGGGGTGTGGATGGGCGCAGAGGCGTGGACAAAGAAGAGACCACCACCACCGCTGGGCTGAGAACATCGCCCCTGGCGCCCCCCCGAGACCGCCCCTGACCCGCCAGCGGTGACGAAATGCGCACGGCGTCGAGGTCGGCCTTGGGGGGGCGCCCTTCTGACTCCCGCGCGTGTGGGCGTCGGCACGCCCCGGCGCTCGTGGGGCGCACACCTCTTCCTCTTCTTCCCCTGCGTGCTCTCCTGCCGCTGCTCCCCTCCTCAAGACGCGCCAGAGTTTCGGACACCTCTTCCTCTTCCTCCTCTGCGTGCTCTCCTGCTGCTGCTCCCCCTCCTCCTCAAGACGCCCAGAGTTTCGCTGCAGAAGGCGTTGTGCCCCAGCAGCCGACACGTGCCCGTGTGGGCAACCCGAATCTGCAGCGGCGGGGCAGGCGCCGTTCGGCGCCGAGCAGCTCGAGACCGCGCCGCTCGCCGTCTCCGCCTGCCCGTCCTACGCCTGCCTCCAGATCTCCATCGGTGCCCGCTGTGCCCGTGTCCCCGCCTCCTCGCTTCTCCTCAGCGCCTTTGGTGCAGCCCTCTCGGTGCCCCTCCCTCCGCGGGGGGCCCGTCCTGTTCTGGCCTCCTCGCCACGGCGTGCCGACCTCCCCGCTGTGACGCACACGGGTCGCCCGCACACGCTGTTCATTTCTTATTATGTTCTTCTTCGAAGGTTCTTCGATTTTTTGGGGGCCAAGATCCTTTCATTTCTAAGTGTTCTATCCTGGGCCTCCTCCGGGCCACTGGGGGGGCCAGGAGCAATTCGAAACGAGCGCAATTAGAAATGAGCACGATTAGAAATGGACGACGTGTAATTCTGCAAGCCGAATTTCCGAGCCACAGTTCGGCCAACAGGGACCCAATCGGGGCGTCAGAGTGGAAGTCTGCATCGAGCTCGAGCCGTTGGCATGTGCCGGGGCGCCCGGATCGGCAGGACCGCATTTCTCTCGGTGTCGTAAGGTGTTGTTGTCCATGCCGCACGTTCTTCCTCGCTTGGCATTGCCCCACAGCTCTACCAAGCACAGGGCGAAGCCAGATTTGCAACAGCTGATCTTCAGTGTTGCGCCTTGCGTCGTCGTGCGCCTCGTGCGTTGGACTTTGCACGCGCGCAGTCTGCTGTGCAAGACGTCGTTTTGAGCGAGCGCATGACTGTTGCTTACACTTACCGCAGCACCAATGTCATGAATCACCACAAAGGCCGCTGCAACAACATGCGCCAGGAATACCATGCAGCGCAGTGAATCGCAACGCAGTGCAATGTAGCAACAAAGCAATTACCCTGTGACGTACCCAACCCTTTCTAGTCAGGACCACTCAATGCTGACTGGCATTCTGGAGGACCCGCAGTGCGCAAGAAGAGCACCCAGCAGTGATTTCAGAAGATCGCAGCAAGAAGAGGGACGGCAACTATAAAACATGGAAACACAGGGGCGTTGAAAGAAACGCGTATGGCGTACCTCCGAGAGATCTACGTGGGACGTACCTCCGCTGGGCCTCCCAGGAGACCGCGAAAGTGGCGACAGTTGCGCAGATCGCAAGCCCCCTAGGGGGCGGCGAGGTCCCGAGGTGATCCGCGTGGGACCCACCTCCGCTGGGCCTCCCAGGGCCCCCCCCCTCTGCTGGGCCTCCCAGGAGCCCGCGAAAGTGGCGTCAGTTGCGCAGATCGCAAGCCCCCAGGGCACCGCGAGGTCCCGAGGTGATCCGCGTGGGACCCACCTCCGCTGGGCCTCCCAGGAGCCCACGAAAGTGGCGACAGCTGCGCAGATCTCAGCCCCCAGGGCACCGCGAGGTCCCGAGGTAATCCGCGTGGAACGTACCTCCGTTGGGCCTCCCAGGAGCCCACGAAAGTGGCGACAGTTGCGCAGATCGCAGCCCCCAGGGCACCGCGAGGTTCCGAGGTGATCCGCGTGGGACGTACCTCCGCTGGGCCTCCCAGGAGCCCACGACAGCGGCGACAGTTGCGCAGATCGCAGCCCCCAGGGCACCGCGAGGTCCCGAGGTGATCGACAGCGTGGGGGTACCTCCGCTGGGCCTCCCAGGAGCCCACGAAAGTGGCGACAGTTGCGCAGATCGCAGCCCCCAGGGCACCGCGAGGTCCCGAGGTGATCCGCGTGGGACCCGCTGGGCCTCCCAGGAGCCCACGAAAGTGGCGACAGTTGCGCAGATCGCAGCCCCCAGGGCACGCGAGGTCCCGAGGTGGGACGGCAGGAGAAAGATCGTGAGCCGCGTGGGACGTACCTCCGCTGGGCCTCCCAGGAGCCCACGAAAGTGGCGACAGTTGCGCAGATCGCAGCCCCCAGGGCACCGCGAGGTCCCGAGGTGATCCGCGTGGGACGTACCTCCGCTGGGCCTCCCAGGAGCCCACGAAAGTGGCGACAGTTGCGCAGATCGCAGCCCCCAGGGCACCCGAGGTGATCACCGCAGGGTCCCGAGGTGATCCGCGTGGGACGTACCTCCGCTGGGCCTCCCAGGAGCCCACGAAAGTGGCGACAGTTGCGCAGATCTCAGCCCCCAGGGCACCGCGAGGTCCCGAGGTAGCGCGTACAGGATGGCGCAGAGATCGCTCCCGCGTGGGACCCACCTGGCGTCCCAGGCAGCCCCCACCGCAGATCGCAGCCCCCAGGGCACCGCGAGGTCCCGAGGTGATCCGCGTGGGACGTACCTCCGCTGGGCCTCCCAGGAGCCCACGAAAGTGGCGACAGCTGCGCAGATCTCAGCCCCCAGGGCACCGCGAGGTCCCGAGGTGATCCGCGTGGGACGTACCTCCGCTGGGCCTCCCAGGAGCCCACGAAAGTGGCGACAGTTGCGCAGATCGCAGCCCCCAGGGCACCGCGAGGTCCCGAGGTGATCCGCGTGGGACGTACCTCCGCTGGGCCTCCCAGGAGCCCACGAAAGTGGCGACAGTTGCGCAGATCGCAGCCCCCAGGGCACCGCGAGGTCCCGAGGTGATCCGCGTGGGACGTACCTCCGCTGGGCCTCCCAGGAGCCCACGAAGTGGCGACAGTTGCGCAGATCGCAGCCCCCAGGGCACCGCGAGGTCCCGAGGTGATCCGCGTGGGACGTACCTCCGCTGGGCCTCCCAGGAGCCCACGAAAGTGGCGACAGCTGCGCAGATCTCAGCCCCCAGGGCACCGCGAGGTCCCGAGGTGATCCGCGTGGAACGTACCTCCGCTGGGCCTCCAAGGAGCACACGCAAGTGGCGACAGTTGCGCAGATCGCAGCCCCCAGGGCACCGCGAGGTTCCGAGGTGATCCGCGTGGGACGTACCTCCGCTGGGCTTCCCAGGAGCCCACGACAGTGGCGACAGTTGCGCAGATCGCAGCCCGACACAGGGTAGGAGGAGGGGAGGAGGGGAGAGGCGAATGAGGACGGGACGACCACACTGCTCTATTCAAAACGAGTACCCAACCATAGGATGGTTGGGAATAGCATACAACGCGGCGTAATGCAACAACAATGCGCGACAACGGCGTGCAACACCACTACACAAAACGAGCAATGCAACCGCAACGCACAGACAACGCAATCGCAACGCAGTGCCGTACATTGCAACAGGGAGTCAATGTACTATTTGGCAATGCAAAAGCCATGCAACCACACTGCACAATGAATGAACACGTTATGCACGTGGATGTAGAAGCAGTAGGATTGCAATGCAATGCGCGTGTACACTCATGCAGTGCAACTCGAGCGCATTGCGAACGCAGTTCGCACGTAATGCACATCACTGCACTGCAATGCACGGCACATGTATGCAACGCAATACAGTTGCAAAGCAACGCTACGCCACACACAAACAATGCAATGCTTGGCGCTGCTGGGCTTTGTCTTGTCATGCCATGACCTGCCATGCGGATGCTCATAGTCGCAGTGCTGTACGCCGAGCTCTATAATGCGACCCTCCGATCTGTTTGCTGTGCTGTGCAGTGTCGAGATTGCACGGGGAGCCTGGGCTGAGTGATGAGCTTGTTGTCCACCACCACCAAAGTTGGAGGGGGGAAGGAGGAGGAGGGCGAGGAGGAGGATAGGATAGGATAGCAACATGACGTTGTCAATGAAACAAAAGGATCGGGCCACCCCTGAGCTTGCCGTAGAAGTAGCCGAACCAGAAAACGACCACCACGACACAGTACCCTGACGGCATGAACAGGAAGTGCGAGGAACAATAACGATACCTCGCACGAGTACCTCACTCCAGAAACGTGTGCAGCCGAAATTTCACTCCTTCCAACCAGCCACCCATATACTGAGCTACAAGAGCCGAAAAACGGGACGAACATCACACCTCGAGCATTCATGGGGCACGCGGGGCCCGTACAGATTAGCAGCAAGCTCACCCCAACCCACCAATAGATAGTATGACAGAAATGCCAAGCCGTCGATGCTGAGCAATCCAGCCGAAGAAATGAGACATCCCACGAACGCCAAGACACTATGCGAGCCGTTCTGCGAAGGAAAACGAACCTTGACCCAAGCACACACACACAGCGGGTCCATTGCGGCACTGCAGGAGAGGGCGCGCCGACGGACCGCTGCAATTGAGCCTTGTTCCATTACGGGTAGCTGCCACTGCCCGCAATGCCTGAGTTCTCGCACCTGCTCATCACGGCACTGTAGCTGATAACGGTCAGGCTAACATCGCCTCCCACATCGAGCCACGCTCCGACAGGATTAGCTGCCACTGCTCGCCGTTCTCGCACGAGCTTGACCCAAGATCGAGACTCAGCTGGTCCATTACTGCACTGCAGGGGAGGATGCGCCGACGGACCGCTCGCACTGAGCCTCGCACCGATACTGGTAGCTACCATTGCCCGCCGCTGCCTGCTTTCTCGCACCACATCTGCACGATAACGTGCGCCGTGGTTTTTCGAGGACGCCGCAGCAGCGCCTCGGGGCCACCACCTTCCCTGTGGGTTTTCGAGGATGCCAATGGCAGCGCCTCGGGGCCTCCACCTTCCCTCTCCTCTGTCCGTGCTGCTCACTGGTGCTGGAACCCAGCGGGTGCATTGCGGCTACGCAGGAGAGGATGCGCCGACGGACCACTCTTGCTGAGCCAGCACTGTTACTGATAACTGCCACTGCCCGCCACTGTCTGCCTTCTCGCACGTGCTGATCCCGACGATGTAGCTGATAACGGCCGGCCTAGCTTTGCCTTCCACCCCAAACCACGCACCGACTGAAATTGCTCTTGCATGCCGTTCTCGCACCTGCCAGGCCACGCATTGACACGGAAACCGCAGAATCAACTTTGCGAACATATTGAAATACGAACTGGTATATTGCAGCCACTGCCCTTTGCCACCGCTGGCCCATGACAGCAATGAAAATAATAACATGCCGAGGGGCCGCGTCTTAGTCTCACATGCCTGCCTGGAGTCACCAAACGTTCTTCTCGCACGAACTGATCCGAGCATTGTAGCTGATGAAGTTGGCTCCACGCCTACCCATCTAGCTTTGCAACGAAAACCCGTTGCCTCTGA